CCTTAGGTTGCTCTTGTGGATGTTTCAGTGGACGTGAAATATAAGAAAGAAAATGGTGGCCCTTCATACATATGCATACGGGAGTATTTTTCTTTGTAGAGGAGGGTGCCCCTTTAAATCTATGAAAGCTGGAATGCTGATATTTTACACGGTAGTTTGTCTCAACATTATCAAGGGGGCGGCTAAAACCGGAAGTCTCTATCCAAAATAGAAATAAAACTATGGCCGAAAAAACACCTAAAAATGAGCAGTTTCAACAAAAGTTGCGCATCTTTTTATTGAATTTATGTATTTTGGCTGATAAAATGATTTCTACTAAAGATAGAGACTTGACATTTACAGGACATGCCTGCACCATAATTCTGAACTAGTCCTAAATGTTCCAAGTCTCTGGGGTTTCCAGGAACGAAGATATCGGCCAAAAACCATGCACATTCCATTGATTTTGGGATGCTGTCTGTCATTTAATGAATAAAACGTGCTACTGTGCATGCGCCAATTTTGCCTGTAATTAGGGCTAGGGTAATGGTAATGGAATGTAATCATTACATTTTTGAAGTAATGGTCATGTAATGAGTAATAGGAGATTTGAAAAATAATGAGTACAAAGGATATCACATATTTAATCTTTTGTAGGTAATGACAAAAATTTAAACAAACACAATCTCCAAATAAATAGGCGGAGGACAACAACAGAACATGTTTAAAAATGCTTCATTGTCTTTTTTTTTTTTAGACTGGATCACATTATGAACATAATTTTTGATGTCTCTCCATGATCGTCTTGACAGTTCCGTTCGCTTTCTTAAACATCTGTCACAATCCAGTTTACCGGGAACTTTCATTTGTCGAATGTTGTTACCCAACTCTTCAGAAACTCTTTTCATCGGCTGTCCAATATCTTCTGACTTGCTTACATGTACCTTTCTTACTCCCATTCAAATTAACCCCTGAAAACATATCAGAATGAATGTTAAATTGTTTGAATATATGATTATTCGTATACATGTCGAGTGCTTTAACAAATCTGAGCATAAAAGTTTGTAAGAGGGTTACCGTATATACAATCCTGTGTATATGCTTGCTAATACTGGAGTTGATATGTAACGAAATGTAATGAAAAGGGAGTTTATCAGACTTTTCTGCTATATCCGGGCTAATGAAGAAGGACATACCCTTATTTCGATTGAAACTGTCAAGGGTTCTTTTACGTGCTACGTGTGGATGGGGACTCATTTTTTGTCCCATCCGAATGACTAGATCTGCACTACTGCAAAGGGCATGTCATGCAGAGTGCTATGAGGGAAATTTTGCCCAGACAGAGGTGCTACAGTTATTTCGAATTGCAACAAGGGTTCTCTTACGTGCACACCTACATGTAAACAGGGCCTCAATTGTTGGTCCCATCCGAAAGACAAGACACTGTCGTAGCCAGGCCCTCTGTCTTGCACCACTGACAAGGGGGGAAACTGAGCATGTTTACCGTCTTCATCAGAAAATTATTCTTTATTTGTAGCATCTTTGTCTAGCTTATTTTCTTCTATTTTAGATGGTTCTTCTACGGGTTCCTCAGCATCACTATCGTTATCACTTTCATCATCAACTGAATGTAAACATGGAAATAAAGCAATTATCGCACATTTATATTTTTTTCGAACGTATAGAGGAATCAAACTATACACCAAGTTTCATCACTCTCTATCAGATAGAATCAAGATTATCTTGTCCCAAAGCATCGACCAATGAAATTAATTAGCCCTGCTTAGCTTAAGCTCGAAATGTTAATTATTGAACTTACTCAAGACATTCACCTAATGAACATCTACATCAAGTTTAAACATTCTATCTCAATTAAAATCAGAGTTGTGATGTTCCAACGTCGTGTCCCACAGCATCAACCAATCAAATTGCTTATCTTTGCTTACCCTAAGCAGAAAATGCTCATCTTATATCGAATTCCAACTGTCAAGGGATCTTTAATGTGCGCGCCAATGTTAGGGAGCCGACGTCCTACTCACTTAGCCACCGTGGCTCCCGTAATTTGATGGACGGGGGTGACGACAATATACGACCAAGACTGAAAATGGTGCCCAAAAGGGAAACCGATCTTTATAAAAAAATTTTTTAAAAATGTCTTCAACAAGTGACAGTTTAGAATAATTTACTAACTTGTAGTAGTAACATCAACAGAAATGTCATCAAGGTTCATTCCAGCCATCTTTGTGATATTTCCAGTTTCCATGGCAAGTAGTATCTTACTTATCTTGGCAACCTGAAGTGTATTTTCTGGCAGTCTATAGTACTCTTGGTGAACCCGAATGTCATGTCCCATAAATTTTGCGAGAATGTCTAATTCATTATCTCTAAGAGGCAACATTTGGCTGAAAGTAGCCACATGCTTTCTTAGCTTGGTTGAAGTTATGATAGCAGGCCTTTTTGTTTCACTTTCTATACTGAATCTTCGAATACAATCGGAACCTCTCAGGGCATTTACACTGTTCGGGATGGCAAACAGGTATAAGTTTTCTGGTAAAACTTCTACTTGTGTCCTACATTTCAACAGTAAATCTATTCCCATTTTCATGTCTTCTGTCAATAAAACAGGAACTTTCCTTCCTCTTTTTCCTTTAGTTTCAAAGCGATGAAGTTGTTTGCACAGGTCTCTTTCAAATTTGGATAATGATTTGCCCACGTCTTCATTGTCATGAGTTGTATTTTGTAACTTTTGATAGCTTTCAATAAGAACTCTGGATGCCTCTCCACTTCTTCTTCTATTAAAAAGAATAACCTTAGTTAATAATATCTTTGAAAGTTCATACCAGTCCGCGGTGTTAACAGAGTTCTGCAGTTTACCTATTAAAGTCTCTTGTTGTTTTCTCAAGAATTTCTGTAACAGGATTAGATCATCAACCATAGGAAGTAGCTGAGGTTTGTTCCACTTCTTTTCCTGAAGCGTTTTCAATGCCTCGGAAGATATCTGGTCACCCCATTCTAGTTCACACAATTCAGTAAATTGGTCTGCAGCACACTTCTGGGTGTCATTCGGGGCAACCAGGGTTCTGCCTTTAAAATGGAACAGCATTTTTTTTAAAGATGAACCCAATTTCAAAGCCAGAGAGGGTGTTTTGTATTGTTGACTGACAACATCATAACCACAAATTCTTTTCACTGCGTCAACCACAAGTTTAAATTTAGCTGGCTGGATTACGTTTTGGATAGTAACTAGGGGATCTGTTTTTCTCAACTCAAGTGCAAGACGTGCCAATTCTCTCATCTTTTGGGAAATGTAATGTTTGTTATGTTGTTCCTTTCCCACTTTCAATAGTTTAACACCATACTTCAATATCAGTTCGTCATTTCGCACGCACATTGAAACGCTATCATTATTCATATCCTCCAGGATTTTGGTTAGTACTGCGTTATGTTCAACATCTGACGGGAGCATCAGAGAACTTATCGACTGAATATTTCGATTTCGTGCTTTTGATGTGTGTGACTTTCTCAGTTTGCATACTTTTTGGTGCTTCCATAGCTTTTTATTTATGAAAAGGCCCAAGCAAAGATCACAAGGACTATAATATCTTGGGTTTCTCTTTTCTGCTGCATTAGGTCGCTTGGATGGAACTAATTGACTATTTCCTTTCTTCAGAACTTCACAATTGTGTGAAAAATTACCCTTGTTTGTCAGTTTTTGAATCAGTATTTTTCGCTTGTTGGACTTCTTTTGAAGGGGTGAAAATTCTGCCACTTCTGTCTCCTGCGAATGTTTCTGTACAAAATGTCTAGGTAGCTTTGAATATGGTTTATCACAATAAACGCAATAGTTCTTCTTATCCCAACGTCTCTTATCTTTACTGTTTGAGGTGACAACCACACTCAGTCCAGCAACTGCAATAATGAAGATAATAAGAGTAAAAACTCAAAACTAAACATTATTGTTAAGCTAGACAAAAAAGGGTAGTTCAGAGTACTTTAAGGACTACCCGAGGACCTATGTAAGATTGAATTACATTTATACAACTTAATTTACCTTATTTCTGAGGACTTTAGTGTTTAATACTTTACTTAAAGGACTACCGGAGGACCTGTGTAAGATTGAAATACATTTATACAACTTACTCTACCTTATTTCTGAGGACTTTAGTGTTTAATACTTTAATTTAAGGACTACAATGTATATTTAACACTATTAGAGATTTAACAAACTTTGCTATTCCTCAAAGGACTTGGTGAGTTATCTGTCTTTTGACCACGAATGACACAATAAGCATTGCAAACTAACCCAGGCATAAAAACAAGAAATGAATGAAAGGAACAATGTCAAGAATGAGTGAACAGAAAACTAAGGGGTGCAGAATGATATTACACACCTAAGTTCAGAAAGAGAGGGTAGTTCAGAGAGAGAGAGTCAGAGAGATAGAGAGAGAGGGTAGTTCAGAGAGATTGAGAGGGTAGTTCAGAGAGAGAGAGGGGGTAGTTCAGAGAGAGAGAGAGAGGGGGGTAGTTCAGAGAGAGAGAGAGTGAGAGGGTAGTTCAGAGAGAGAGAGAGTAGTTCACAGAGAGAGAGAGATAGTAGTTCAGAGAGAGAGAGAGTAGTTCAGAGAGAGAGAGAGTAGTTAAGAGAGAGCGAGAGAGAGGGTAGTTGAGAGAGAGAGAGAGAGAGAGAGAGAGAGAGAGAGGGTAGTTCAGAGAGAGCGGTAGTTCACAGAGAGAGAGGGTAGTTCAGAGAGAGCGAGAGAGAGGGAGGGGGGTAGTTCATAGAGAGCGAGAGATATGGGGTTTAATACCCAGTCGACACAAACTAGGTCATTTCGACATTAACATATTGTTCAATTTTGATTAAATAATTCGCTTGCCAGTAGGTGTCTTTCGCAGTGGGAGGAAACTGGTCATGTACAAGCTGGGAATCGAAACCACACCACTTGACTCAATACACATGTAGTCTTTAATTTAATTTCAACAGTAGAATACTCACAAGAAGTTTTTTCATCATTTGTACTGTCTTTTTCTAGCATTTCCTCTTCTACCATAGCTTTTTCTGGAAGAACATCAGAGTCTTCACATTCCATAGTACCACCTTCATTATCATTCTTGTCATCAACTGAAATATACAAAATTTTAATATCTATGAGGTGTGCTTTCAAAGAACATTTGGGCGAATGAAAAATTTCAATAAGAAACATTTCAGTGTCAACAAGAACAAATATTCCGATCTTTTAGCTTAATAAAATCCCAAAATAACAATACCATAACACAATCCACTTGGTAAATCAGGTGAAAACTTGGAAAAGACTAGGACACAGATCACGGTTGTTAATCCATTGTAAAACGAATAACATTTTTGTGTAGAAAACCATTTGGTTGGTTTGATATTTGTATTACATGGAAGCTTGATATGTGTACGTGGTTCTACTACAAGTACGGCAGTGCCGTAGCAGTCCGTGTTTGCTCCGTACCGTTAAATGCGTTGACATATTGTTCAATTTTGATTTAAATAATTCGCTTGCCAGTAGGTGTCTTTCGCAGTGGGAGGAAACTGGTCATGTACAAGCTGGGAATAGAAACCACACCACTTGACTCAATACACATGTTGTCTTTAATTTAATTTCGACAGTAGAATACTCACAAGAAGTTTGTTCATCATTTGTACTGTCTTTTTCTAGCATTTCCTCTTCTACCATAGCTTTTTCTGGAAGAACATCAGTGTCTTCACATGCCATAGTACCACCTTCATTATCATTCTTGTCATCAACTGAAATATACAAAATTTTAATATCTATGAGGTGTACTTTCAAAGAACATTTGGGCGAATGAAAAATTTCAATAAGAAACATTTCAGTGTCAACAAGAACAAATATTCCGACCTTTTAGCTTAATAAAATCCCAAAATAACAATACCATAACACAATGCACTTGGTAAATCAGGTGAAAACTTGGAAAAGACTAGGACACAAACCAGGGTTGTTAATCCATTTTAAAACGAATAACATTTTTGTGTAGAAAACCATTTGGTTGGTGTGATATTTGTATTACATGGAAGCTTGATATGTGTATGTGGTTCTACTACAAGTACGGCAGTGGTGTGATATTTGTATTACATGGAAGCTTGATATGTGTATGTGGTTCTACTACAAGTACAGCAGTGCCGTAGCAGTCCGTGTTTGCTACATACCGTTAAATGCGTTAATTACTTGGGTGTATTCATTATCACAAAGGCAACATACTGGACCAGTTATGTATTTTACGGGATTATCAAAATTACTGTTAAATGTGCTAATTACCCGGATCATATGAGCGACGTGGCCGATGCTCACTAACGCATGACTGTTATTGTACATGTAGCTGACAAGTTGATTGACGTGTTAATCAACAAGTATTAATTAACTATTTGTACTGATCCGTAAGAAGATTGATTTATGATACCATAGTGGCTGGTTCATTGTTTACCAATCGGCTTTTTCAAACATCAAGCGGCTATAGCCGACAATAATCATCGGATTAAGATCCCTGACACAGACCAATATGTCATTTATCAAAACTATACAGTTATATGGGACAACAATCACTGGTTTATTATACACAAGCACGACGTTTCGATAAGTATTCTCTTATCGTTATCAAGTGCTTGATAACGATAAGAGAATACTTATCGAAACGTCGTGCTTGTGTATAATAAACCAGTGATTGTTGTCCCATATAACTGTATAGTTTTGTTATGTTTCCAATTGCTAAATGCCACTAAAGGATTATATGTCATTTATCATTTGTACTATCATGAAGCTCAACAAAATTTCAAAATCAAATTACCTTTGTTTTTCTGGTTAACTAAAAGATGATTTCCAATTACAGGTATACTGTCATCAAGTGCTCCATCACTGTCCATGCTATCTTCCACTATTTCACTTTCTGATGAGGTTTCATCTGGTATGTATTCAGAACCACTAGATACACAATCATCTTCATCACATCCATCATAGTCAGAGTTGCAGAAAGCTTCTTCATCTAATGGAGAATCCTCACCCACTGTAGCAACATTAATCTCCTCATCATCACCATCTGCAGGCATATTACTATCATCACCCACTGTAGGAACATTACTTCCAATACCATCATCATCTGCTGTAGGATCATTACTACCATCATCGCTCACTGTACAAATATTACCGTCATTACCATCTGGTATAGTGCCTCCATTCACAACATCATCATCACCCACTGTAGGAACATTACTTCCAATACCATCATCATCTGCTGTAGGACCATTACTACCATCATCGCTCACTGGACAAATATTACCGTCATTACCATCTGGTATAGTGCCTCCATTCACAACATCAACATCACCCACTGTAGGAAGATTACTTCCAATACCATCATCTTCTGCTGTAGGATCATTACTACCATCAGCGCTCACTGTACAAATATTACCGTCATTACCATCTGGTATAGTGCCTCCATTCACAACATCATCATTACCCACTGTAGGAACATTACTTCCAATACCATTATCATCTGCTGTAGGATCATTACTACCATCATCACTCACTGTACAAACATTACCGTCATTACCATCTGGTATAGTGCCTCCATTCACAACATCATCATCACCCACTGTAGGAACATTACTTCCAATACCATCATCATCTGCTGTAGGATCATTACTACCATCATCGCTTACTGTACAAATATTACCGTCATTACCATCTGGTATAGTGCCTCCATTCACAACATCGATGTTAAATAACTTTTACAATGATCAAAACAATGCTAGAAGTTTGACATATATTACCTAATTAGTCGGAAGTTAACGCTATGCAAACCTGAAAGTCTGACATTGTGCGCTTATGTCTGTCGTATTCACAGCAATTTCTGAACAATAAAACATAATTATAAATACTATTGTGAATGTTCAGAACAGGATGAATGCATTTTAATGCATTTTTATTTAATTATGTGTGATTTTACTCGCATGACAGCTATGTAACAAACATAACCAAGGTGGACAAAATTACAGCAAGGTAATTCAGACCATGATACATCAACATAAATTGTCTGCACAAACTGCACGCAGCGATCCATCTACGCCATACGTCATTATGATCACTGCCCCAGTTAGCTGCCATTTAAAACGTTCACGTGATCAATTTGGGTCGGGAATTATCGACTGGACACAACAGCTTTGTGTACACAACAGAGTACACACGTTTTATGTAAACACATGTCTTTACCAAAATGTCAACTTCTGCCAATCCGGTAAAAGCGATATATAAAATGGAAGGGTGACCCATGTACTCTACAGAAATACAGTCCACCGCTGATAGCTTGAGATTACCACTGAAGCGTGCACATTCGCCGTGTCGAGACCAACTTTCTGACAGTATGATACTATAAATAGCCATGGCACGTGCAATTCTCTACAAATCTATCAACTATTACAGCCGTAAAAAATTTATTGTTGACGATTTTGAATAGAAGTAAAATTAAGCTTCTTGGTTATTACAGCAGATTTAGAAATTACGTTCGTTTCATTTTTTAAATCGCTTTATCATTAACTGTACCGTTAAGAGCGGCATCTTTTGGTTTAGTACAAATAATATCTCTGAAACACTCGGGTTAGACAGGAACATGATACTAGCAGTAGTTTCATTTTACTTTTACAAGCTTCTTAAAACAATTGTTGAGCTAGCTAACGTGCTTACTTCTAAATTCAATTTCTTGTTCTAGCTTTCTGTTATGTTTCGTAAAAAAGTAGTCTTGATTATCGTGACCTGTCAATCAGACGTAGAATGGTCGATAGACTGGTTAAGCGAGACTAATTTCAAAACAAGGGCACGTAACCTATCTTTTACTCAAAAGTGTCTGGATGTTATGGACGACACTTGGAACCAGTTTTCAGTCTATTATATATAGATGATTAATGGTCATAGCTTATTAAGTACAACATGATCGTTTATTTAGTGACTATAATTGTGTGAAACTGATTTGAGGCTTGGCATATGTATAAATATTGTGGCGTAATTGTCGAGATATTTGGAGATATTTGGAGATATTTATTTATGGTGGGCCACCCTAAAAATGTGCTAGTGGGTAATATCGCAATACACTCTTTGCCATTGTAAACTGTCTTTAGAGTTTCAATCTGTTTATCTTTCAAAATTAGATACTCCTAAATTTGTCTTCGCAAACAAAACCTTCTCTGTGAAATTACCTTTTATGGGCGCCGCCATATTGAATATTAGAGGACTATATTGTGATTCGGCTTTGATTAGTTTGACATCTTTTATACACACAGCGGCTAAATAAACATATTTAATTTCATTCAATATGACAATAGAAGAGAAATAAATACTTCTAAAAAATACTAAAAGCATACTCAGTGTTTTCGACTAAAATCGTCGATGCAGGGATGTAGGAATTAAAATGTCGGGTAATTACATGTAGCTTAGGGCCTGTTCTCAGGCGGAGCTAGCTGTAGACAGGCAGCCTAAGTTTGGGATGTCGTCTGCAGTTGGAATTCCTTTAGCACGGTGGGGATCACGTGGCTAAGTGGGTAAGACGCTAGCTCGCTAGCCTGGAGGTCGGGTGTTCGATCCCTGCATTGGCCGAGAAAGTTCATCTAGATTTTCCGGCGTGTTTCTCCCTTGTCAGTGATGCAGGACGGAGGGGCTGACAAGGAAAGCTGTCTAGTCGTTCGGATGGGACGAAAAACCGAAGTCCTGTGTACACATTGGCGTGCACGTAAAATATCCCTTGGCAGTTGGAATTCGATATAAGAGTAGGACGTTAAACTCCATTTCATTTCATTTTCCTTTAGCACGGTAAAGGATTGGTGTTTAAGATATCATCCACAATACAATTCATGCCATGCAAGATCAGTAACTTGCAAGTTACGCACAAAATATGAATAGAAAATGGGCTATCAAGGCAAATAGAAAGTAAACTGTTACATTTAATTAATATATTAAGTATTCATGATAGATATAGTAACTGCAACTCAAATGACTAAAACTACTAATCAAAAGATGATTTGATTAGCAAAAATTTATTAAAAACTATTTGGCACTGCTAACCAATTGTCAACAGTTATTTTGTTCCCTGCTATTCACATTACAATTAAAGCTAGTTCTCTTGAAATTTATCAAGATACGAAACGGCTCATGTGAGGTACGAATGTCCAATGTACAAAACAGCTCAGATTCAAGTCAACTCGATATTGATGTTAAATTTAATTTAATTAACATGGGTTAGCTTTATAGTAGTAGATCATTAAAATTGTCAATCAGAAAGGCAATATAAATATGTATTATTTTATTAGTTATTAAACTATCTATATAATCTATATTTATATAGGCTACTCACCTATTTTGACCGAAACTGAAGGACTGTTGTTATAATTCATCATGTTCAAGTTTCTGAATACACTGAATACAGTCGATGACAAAACCTCTGAAAAAGAAGTCCACAAAGAATGTTACTAGTACGTGTGTATGTGCTAAGTAATTTTCAAGACAGGAATTACACATTACAAAAATGTATTCCCTTATGTCAGTTCTGAAGGATTTGCATTTCTCATTTTGAAAAATATTAGTTCATACATATAATTAAATCTACAAAATAGTGTGGCAGGTAATAAATACACCTCCTTAAGTCTAAAGCTTTGAAAATAAAAACTTCTATAACAAACTGCTAGGCCTACCTGTCATTTCTATTCGCATCGTTCTCAGAAAGACAGAGGTGAAAAATAATACAAGACAGATCATTTGACATTTAAACATTATATCGAAAGAGTTTATCCCACTTCTTGTACATTACCGAAAAAAATACGAAAAAAAACAACCAACACAACAAACGTGAAAAAACTAAAAACTGTTATCAACACTAAATAAGTTTCTAGCTCGAATGAAATCACCATCTTGTTTTCACGAGACACGCTAAAAGACGCGAGAGTCGACTATCTGTGTGACTACTAGGGCGACCTTCGGTTATCGTGATTTCCTGACTATGGTCGAACTAACTGAATTCGAATTTCATTTAGTCCGGACCATAGCCCGCAAATACTGAACCATGCTATTGTGGCATGGTCGGAGTAGTTCCAATATGGCGATGTCGATGAAACCAAAGTGTAGAATATTTAAAAAGAATCTATTTCTGTTAAGAATATGATTTTAGAAAAGCTTGAATGAATTTTAAATGGTTGCTACCTATTTGATCAGATATTTTTTGTCTCGTATGTTATGTCTGAATCTATGTAAGTCTAAAAATTACGCACAATTTCAATACTTGCGCTATGCAAAACGTAAAGTCAAATTACAAGGAATTTTGTCGTCTCTAAAATTAATTTGAGTCGCGCAAATTTAACTTTTTGAAAGTATTATTTGTTTACTAAACTATATAACGGAGAAATATATAAACCTTCCTTGAGCTTTTTTTTTAGGGTTATGGTCGAGGTCTAAAGCAGAGTAAAATGACATCACCATGTCTCTGGGGGCAGCCATCTTTGAACAGACGATGGTCATGACCATTCGCGTTCGGTTTCTAGTTCTGACCACTAGCCGTGAAAAAATTATAACCGAAGGTCGCCGAGGTAAAGTGTGTGTAGGCGACACACAAACAACATGGTTTACGCTTTATTGGGGGTCTACGTAGAATTTTTGTCAGGTGACGTAGACACGATTATCAAACCTGAAAGTGACCATAATATCTCCAGCATGAGTCATGATCTGCTATATGCTACACGAAATACGAATGTAAGCACATGTAAAAAGAAATGACATAACTTCAACGAAAACGACAACATATGACTGAGCTACTGTCTATAAGAAGACAATACAGAGTCAGAAAAAAAAACTAAACTTACGGATCCGTCGACGCCATATTGTTTCAACGATGTGTTAAATTGAAAC